GGCGGCGGCGGCGGGCGCGGGCTCGGGCGGGGGGGAGCAGCAGCCGCCGGCCGCGCCGCCGCCCACGCCGCACAAGAGGATGAAGAAGCGCAAGGAGCTCAACGCGCTCATCGGCCTCGACGGGCGCCGCAAGAAGCCCGCCAAGAAGGGCTCGGGCCACCGGCTGCTGCGCACCGAGCCGCCCGCCTCCGACTCCGAGTCGAGCTCCGAGGAGGACGAGTTCGCGGCGGCCTCCGCGTGCGGGACCCGCGCCCCGGGCCCCGCGCCGCGAGCGGCCCCCGCCAGCCCCGCGGCGCCCGGGACTCCGTGGGTGCTGCTGGATATTCCCAACGCCCTGTTTGCGTCTCTCTTTCCCCCCAGGGGAGAATACCTGCGGTGCTGCAGGGTCTGCTACCCGCTGTGCGCCTTTGTCATCCTTGCTGCTTGCGTGGTCGCCTGCGTTGGCCTCGTCTGGATGCAGGTGGCTCTCAAGGAAGACCTGGACGCGCTAAAGGAAAAGTTTAGAACGAGTGAGTATCGCCGAACTGCAGCGCTTCGCTCTTGCGAAGTTGCCTGTGTGCTTATTTGTATCATGGAAATACTGAGCAGATGAAGTCCCCCTGACTCGAAGAGTTCCCCAAGATAAATAATATTATCTTGGGGCACATGTCTCAGGGAGGCTGGAGGATCTCGGGCGGGTGTCTGTGTGTTTCCGTGCCTGTCCGTGCTTCCTGAGAGGAGTAGCAACACTGGGCCAGCTGGGCCTGAGGTGGCTTGCAGGAACTCCCATAAATTCCAGACTTTCCCTTGGGAATGCTCCTTTCTGAAGGGAGCATTTCCCTACTGAAAAGGTACTAGTTGTTCGTGTAAAAATAGTCTACTGAATCTTGCTGCTTCACTGCAAAGTTAATGGAAAATATTCAGCCTTGTCTTGAGCTGTTTTAAAGACTTCTAATACTTCTGCATGCATAGCTGTAATTTAAACGCTGCTACGATATTGCATTTTTTTCTGTACATCTTCTTAATGAAGTCTAACTTGCAGTGACCCACTTTTGTTTAACTTTTGTCTAGTGTGTTCCACATGTGGTGCAGAATTTACATGAAGCTTTCTACTTGCTGGCCTTGGGTTTCTCTGTGCAGGTTGGATGTCAGGACTGTAACTCCACCTGTAGTGCTGAGTATAACAAACAAACAGTAAAATTTGCATGTAATGTGCACTTGGTTCTCTGTTACTCACCTCTGGAGAGAGATGTTTTGGTGTGCCTTATTTTAGTGCTATTTAAAATTGTGTGTTTTATAAATGTGGGGGCAAGTGGAAGGGAATGGAGCGGAAGGTAGCGAGGCTGGGGCTTCTCTGGCCTCATCAAGAAAGTTAACTTGCTCAAGAAAGTTAACTTGTTCAGTCCTACCCAAGGAGCATCATTGCTGGCTGCAGCTTTTGTCCTGTAAGTTTACTTAGAATTTTTGTTCTCTAGACTTGAAAAAAAATAGCCTTAAAAATATGTCCAAAGCCCTTGAAATTGATTTTAAAAATATGAGGAATTAGGGCTGAGGGTGAAGAGGAGGCATGATTTGCTTGTTCTAGAATATAACGTCGAAGGAGTGTGTTTAGATGTCCTTCGCTGTTGGTGCCCGAGGCGTCCTGCTCAGGGGCATAGTGCTCGTGAGAGCAATGAGTAACTGGTGACTGATCCGCCTGCCAAGGTGGAACCTCCTGGCTGGTGAGAGGTGTGGGAAAGCCCTGCTGGTAGATGTGCCTTTACACTCAGCAATACCCGCTCCTGAGGAGTTAGTTCTGCCTAGAAGCCACCAGTTTGGGAAAACACTTTCAGTTACAGGCGCTGCCTTGTGCCTCTGGCTGCCCTGAACTGCTCTGCTCTTCATTAGCAGGCTTTGCTAGCTGTTGGTCTTCACGCTGGTCTGCTTAAAGCAAGAGCATGTACTGGCAGAAAGAGTTTTGCATGATGGTGTTAGTTGGCCACAGTGTAGTTAAGCTGCATCATTCCTGTTCTACACAGACCTCTCTGTTAGAGTGTTCGAGCTTACTGGCCAGCAGTTACAAATGTGTTTGTCTTCTTAAGAGCAATGACAAAAAAACAGTGCACTTAATCCTTCAGATAGTGAATAGTCCTGTATCTCCCTGTCACTAATAGTGTCAGAATGTGGAATCACATTGAGACATGGCATTAAACGAGAGAAAAACAACCAACTCGTACATCAAGAATAACCTGGTTCCAAAGTGTAACCTCCTACTTCAGGGAAGCGGATGGGTGGAGGGAGAGATTAAGGTGCCCAGATCAATCTGTCCTATGGGAGGTTTCGGTAAATGTCATCTTCTCAATCTTCATCTAAAGTCTTTCTTCACAGGAACAATTTACCTTGGTAGTATTTCTTTGTATTCTCCTATGCTTAGAACAAGTCAAGTATGGCATGAGAACTTTATTTATTTGTTCTTATGTAAGACTTCTTTGTGTCTGGTAGTACAGATAGAGGGAGAAAAATTACTGTAGTGTTTCCATTCAGGTTTTAGAAGTGTTGCTCAGAAAGTGTTTGATAATGCACCTTCTAAGTACAGTAGGAAACTGAGTAGTTTATTGAAATCTAAAGTGAGCACAGTAAGTTCGGCCTCATAGAAGATGTTTTGTATACAAAGCTCTGAAATCTGTGGAGAAGCCACCAGATTCAGTATGAACTGCTTGTGTGAAGGTACACAAATGCAAAATCACCTCTCAGTCTGTTTCAGCTAAAATGGAACTTGTTAATCATCTCTTCAAGGTCACACTTGCCAGAAATGTTATTTGGCTTTTGAGCTATCAATACCTAGAATTGTCTTGCAGAATTTGCTTAATTAAAAGTCAAATGTGTGTTTTGAAGGTACATGTTCCTATTAATGTATTTACGGGAATCAACAAGCCTAAAGCACCCCTAAAGTCATTCTCCTTTGACCTATGGATCACACAGGGATGCTTGTGCAGGCAGCTGCCAGCTGTGTATAGTGCAGGTCCTGCTGCTCTCGGTGCTCTGGGAAGCAGCAGGGTGTTCTGGAGCACTCCAGCTCTCCGTGGTCACGTTGGAGTTGCAGGTTTGGAGAACCTGTCATCTCCATCTCCAGACCTTTGCTGACCCGTTTCCTCCCAGGCCCTGGGGTTTGGCATTGCCTAATAGCACCTGCAACTAAACAGCTTTGTCACTGCTGACCTGGAAGAGCTGCATTGTTGAGGCTTGCCTAAATTGTCTTGAGCCATGTTTCCCAACTGAAGTCGTGTGAACTGACTTTATTTCCAAGGACCTTGTATACTGATTCCTTTTGCTAACAGGCTTCACTATGTAAGCTTCTGCAGTATTCTCTGAAAGTAATTTAGTTGTATTTGTTTCATGGGAGAACTGTAATCACCTTAATCTGTTTGGAATTCACTTTATGCTCAACAGCCCCTTTGTAGGCTTGAAAAGAACATAAAGGTTTCACTTGACAGGCTGCACTGGGACTGTTGGCAGTTCTTATTTATAATTCTGTTACTATTCCATGTCTATCTGAGAAAGTAATACAGAATCAACGTAGCTGGTGAGGGTTACCAGAATGACAATACTATCATATGTAACTTGCAAAGTGTTATATTTAGTGTGGTCTCTACAAATATTAATGCTTCTTAGACCAAAAAACAGATCCTGTTCCAAAGAAACATCTTCGGAACAGGCAGTGAACTGTCATAGGCTGTGTTGTCTTTGATTGTTGTAGATATGTAGATGCTGTTGCTTGTGAAGTTTGAGTTCATTGCCTTTTCAGAATTTAGTTGGGCTTCTTTTTTCTTATTTGTTTAGTGGAATCTAATCAGAAGACATCATTCCAGGAAATTCCTAAACTGAATGAAGATTTGCTGCAGAAGCAAAAGCAGCTAGAACAAATTGAGACCGGAGAGCTAGGACTAAACAAAATTTGGATAAACATTACAGAGATCAATAAACAGGTGAGAGGAATCATTATCTGATTTTGAAAAAGTCCAGGTACTCGCTTCAAATTTACTTGTTTATATAAAATATAAACCTGCTAACAAACTTGAGCACTGTTTTCATCAAGTGTGGGGCTGAGCTGTTCTCTAAGGACTTCTGCAAACATGTGCTAAGCTTTACTTTTGAATTAAAAATGGGATTTTAGTCTCACTATTATTAACAAAACAAAAAAAAAAGGTAGAACATCTGGTTGCACTGGGCCCTGATTACAAAGAGGAGAAATTAAGCAACTTGGGAGAAGGCTTAAGGCAGAGTTTAAAGGAACCTCTCGGCTTTACAGTACTTCCTGATGAGATGTTTGACATTTCAGCTCTGAGGAGAGTGTCTGCAAACACTTTTCATGAGTATGGAAAGAAGTTGCACTTCTTTCCGACTATGAAAGAATCGGACTATGGAAGCTCACAGTGCTGGAAATGAAATACTGATGCTTTGGGTATCCGAATTGTGTTAATGCATACTCGGAATCTAAGCTGGAAGGAAGGATGTTGCCAGCAGGTTGAGGGAAGGAGTTCTTCCCTTCTGCCCAGCCCTGGTGATGGTGGGGCTGGTGCTGGCCTCCCCAGTGCAGGAGAGATCCTGGACTCCTGGAGTGAGCCCAGCCAAGGCCAGGAAGGTGGTTAAGGGATTAGAGCATATGAGAGCGTTTTCATTTGAGAAAAGGCTGGGATTGTTTTGCCTAGAGAAGGCAAGACTTGATGGAGGAATGAGGAAGGAGATTTTATCAGTGCACGTTAGTATCTGAAGTGAAGACACAAAGAAAATGGAGCCAGATTCTTTAGACTGCCTCAATTTAAAGAGAGGAAGGACTGCCCAGTGTCAGAGGGTTGCACGGAGTGATCTGCAAAGGTCCCTTCTAACCTCAGCTGTGCTGTGAGCTGGTCTAAGTCTTAGCTGTTTTTACTGGGATGGAACTAATCCACCTAACAAAGCTATTTCCTCAGATGGGCTGTTTGTTCATGCTTCAAGTTGAACATCCAGCAAGATTCTTCTTGAAGTCCTTTCCTTGGAGAGTAAAAGTTTGGAGCTGGGGACTGTCAGTAGTGTCAGGAGTGGGGGAGGGATATGAGAAAAAAGCGACAAAACTAACCTAAAAAAGGAAAACACACAGCCGAATAAACCCTGCCTGCTGTTGGGGCTTTGTCTTGAAATCTAAAGAGTATTTAGCTGCAAGAGTATTTAAGAGTATTTTACGTATTTTCAGTACAGGCGTGATTAGGTGTTTAATGGAGCACACAAATACATTTGAAAACTTGATTGCAAGCTGCTGTTTTGTTTTGTATGTGACAATATGTGCTCTCCACAGATATTTATGTGCTTAGTAGGACTTTCAATATGCTATTGTCTGCACCTGGATGTTAAAGTCACTTGGCGCATGGTTCTTGCAGGCTCTCAAGTTTCTTCAAGTTCTGGTTACAGTCTGAGCCAGCTTTTATGAGGGACGAAACTTAGTTACTATTTTCTGTGAGTTTTTGGGATGCTCTGTTGGGAATTGAGTTCAGCCAATATTCACAGCTGTGGAACTAGAGATACTACAAGCCAGCTAGCCCAGGTTGGCCTGTTGTAAAACAATTCCTCAGCTTGGGAAACAACTGCCGCATCCCCAATGAAAGTGAATTTTGTCTGTTCTGTTTCGGGGCTGTCAAATGTGAGAAGAAATACCTCTCCATTTATTTCAATTACTGATGGCTGCAAACCGATCTCAGTGATAGCTTTAGCAAGTAATGGCCAACTTGTAGCTGCTTCTAATTTAATTGGCAGTCCTCTTGATTGGAATTGATAACGTGCCATCTGCGTAAAATAGCTGACAGATGTTGAGCTCGTCCATTATAGGGAGTTTCTTGCTTTTCCACTTCTGTTGCAAAGAGTTTGAATGATCCATGCACTTTGTCTGCCCTTTACCCGGACAGAGAAGCTGCATGGTATTTGTTTGTTAAGCAGGTGTGATTGCCAAATGGATGATGTGTTTGTTTTAAAGATGTTGCACTCTTTAAATTTTTCTTGGGTAACAGCTTACACAATGGTGCTCCCTATTGCAGAAGCTCTTCCTTTTCCCCTTTTGTTTTTTTATTCAGTTTTGAGGAAGACAAAAATAAACATGCTCCAGTGGTAAGAGATGGAACTGTTTGCTTACAGAGACAAAGGTGTTTAGTGTATGCATGTTTTTTTCTTGTATCTTTTGTTTCTATGCTACCAGTTAAGCCGCTTTTGTTGGGAAGGTCAGAATCAGAATTCCTGACTAATTCTAAATATTCCTCTTTGGTTTTAGGTATCACTATTGACCTCAACAGTAAATCATCTCAAAACCAGTATCAAGTCTGCTTCCGATTTGATTATTCTTCCTGTCACTGTAGAGAAACTCCAGAAGGCAAGTAATGCACGTGTGCCTCTGTAAATGCATCCTGTAGCACCAAGCTGCAGGTGGGCTGTTTGCAACCTTGAGTTCCTGTGTGAAATATTTGTTTCTCTCTTAGTTTTGCTTTTCATATATTTTGTGTAATCCTATGATAACTTATGGCAGATAGACAACTCAAAGCTCTTGGTTCTCCCTTTCTGGAGATGTGTGTGTTTCTGATTGTACAGTGTTGTCACATCTTCATCTTGGAGGTGATCTTTCTAATTGATTTCCTTCAAAATTTCTCATCCTCCCAGAAAGTCGACCTGTAGCTTAGTAATTCCTAATGTGGATAGGTATTTTCTTTAGGTTTTGATATTTTCTTTGCTTATTTTGATATTTTGTTTGCTTATTTTAACAGAAATGGACACAGGTTGGTTTTTGGAAAGTGTTCTGAACTTGAGCAGTTCAGTCCCCTGTCTGACTCTGTTATCCTGAATAATGCTGAAGTCTCCCTGAAATTGGGAGTAGTGTGCCTGTGATCTTGCTTGGCATTCTAGTATTCAGCATGTGCACAGTAAAGATAACTATAACGTGTCTAGGGAATACAGTGGAAATCAGAATATCAGCTTTGCGTGTCTCTATATTAACAGTTGTCAGACATATTCCCCTAAACTTAGTATACATAGTACAAAGTACGTAGTACAAATAGTACAAAGCAGTCTTGGGGCCAGTAAGTTTCAGCATGCAGTGATCTGCTAAGTAGGCTGTATTTCTTGTTAAGATAAGTCCATCTTTGGTCGCATTTCACAGAAATTGAAGACCCTGAATACAGTGTTAGAAAATTTGCGTTATTTTTAGTCTCTGCTGTTGAGACTACAGCACGGTGTGTGGTGTTTCCATTCAGTGATACTGTCTTGCATGTGCATGGGAAGGTTGATGTAATAAAAACTCATCTGGAATCTTTCCAGGAAGTATAGGATGAGGTATTGAGCACAGGAAAACTGCTCAGGGTTTCAACCCAGCAATTAAACTTGAAGTTTTGTGTTAACCAAAGTAATAGGTTTCAAAGACTCGAGCTTCTTTTTGACTTCTGGTGGTTTGTCCCGCAATGCCTCGGATCACAGGGGAATGTCCGAGGGTGGAGGTGGTAGCCTGGCTATTGATAATCCCAGGGAGAATGTCTTGCTCAACTGCATACTGCATCCAGCTGTCTTTGCAGTCCCCTACCTCTTTTGAAGAGACGGCTGCTACTGTTGAAACTGGGCTTTCACAAGCCTTCCCTGCAGAGAAGATTCCTGAAAATAGGAGCTGGTATGAGAGTCCTGAAGTATTGCTGAGAGTCTTGGCCTGGCACAGACACCAGGGTCTCAAAATAGTGACAGCTGCTAAAGGCTTCCTGATGGCACGGAGATTGTGTGTTGAACTAGTGCCTGGGCTTGCAGAAGATGGAGCTGGAGGAAGATGTGCAGGTGTCATTAAATATGTTCTGGGCAGGTAGAGAGTCTCTGAGAGTGTTCTGAAACCCTATGGACGTGAGAGGGTCACAGCAAGACTGGATTTTATGTGGGTTGTTTGCTCTAATGAGAATCCAGCATTTAAAAAAAAAAAAAAAAAAAGGGAGGGGGATAAGAAGCACAGGGGTGTTATAAATTAATTAAAACATTAATTTATATGAACTTGTTCATGGTTGTCTTAGTTGACAGAATCCATCTATGCTGGGTGCCATGTGGCCATCTAATAAACTGCAGCATTTCAGAATAGTTTCTAAAGTAAAAGGCAGAAAGGAGGATGAAAATGTGTGAAGACAAGAAGATGCAGTAGCCCAGGGAAAGGAGGCAATTCATTATGACTGTAGATGCCAATTTTGAGGGATAGAGGTGACTTTCCTGATTTTTCACAGTAGCTCTTTCATTTAAAAAAAAGTCAATAGTTGCTTGAAATCCAATCAACAATCTTTGGGAGAAGAGCGATGTGTCGGTTTTAGAGAATGTTAAGGCAGGATAAATGAATGTTGACATCATATTTAATACAAATATTGCCTGTAGAGAGGGGATAAACTATCTTTGTGTCAGCATTTTTAATTAATGAATGTGTGTAGTATTTTGGGAATAGCAAACACACCGTTTTGGCTATCTAGTGAAAAGATGTGTGTTTATATTTATACACATGCATTCACTCACTCTGAAGGTATAAAGAGTGTTTGTTCATTTTGGGGACCTGAGCTGTGACGGGTATCACTTGCAGTTTTTCATGCAAAGGAAGCTCTGAATATTCCACCTCAATCGCCTGTTTCTCTGGTGATCCGGCTACAGCTTTGTTAATTAAAGTATTGTTTTTAACTGACTGAAGCTTTGAGGTGGAGGAGCACAGAGGTTTTCTGTCTACTTCTTTCTTCCAGACTGTGGCAAACATAGGTAGCACATTAACCAGCGTTTCTCATGATGTTGAAAATATGCAGACAGCAATTGAAGAGTACAAGAAATCCATAGAAGCACTCCAGAATGATGTGGTAAGAAAATGTGCTTATTTAAGCCTCCATCTTTAAGGCTTATCTGTCTAATTAGAATGTGGCATCTGCTAAAAGGTACCAAGTATGTCCTGGAGCCAAGAATCACTGACCCCTTGCAATTTTCAGGATGCAAATTTGTTGCTTCCCCCTATGCAGATGTGGAGCTCTTTGTGGTGCAGGGTGCTGCTTATGGTAACTGTCCACACTGCCTGAATGGTAGGGGATGGTGATGATGTGCAGGGATAGTTTGTGGACCTTCTGGTAGAATTAAGGGTCTGAGCAAGGAAGAAATTAGTGACAGTCATTAACAGAAGCTACTGACTTCTGCCACTTAGGGTAGAATTATTTAGAGGGGATAGAGTTAGGAAAAAAGATTTTTTTCAGTTAAGCCATTCTATGGGATTATTTAAAGAATATTTGCAGATAAAAATTGCGTTTATCAGCAATGTTATAAAGCTTGATTGAGTTGGTACGTCTGCAGTGAATGCTGCAAAGTGTAGATATGACCGTATGTACCGTAAAAGCTATGTATTATAGAACTTCATTAAAGGGGAAAAGCTAATTTGGGGGTTGTTTATTTAAAAAATGCTTTAGATAGTAGATATTTGAAGGAGAAAAATCACTCTTCACTGTATTCTCTTTAGTTAAAATATTGCCTGCATTGCAAATGTGAGCTCAGTAGCTGTAGCAACACACCCTGAGGTATGACCTGCCTGATCTTAAAAGCTTAGTGTTTTGTTACAGATATTTGGTACATAACTTTCTGCTCCTTTCATTAGAAGGAATTAAAGCAGATGCCTTCGCTTCCTTCCATCGGTACACCAAGCACTCAGATAAATCAGACAGAAAACTGCAAACAGGTATTTTTCCTCCTTGCATAAGGAATATTGGTACAAGTACTGCTAATGCCAAAGCTTTGTGTTTTGATAAATTATAGTGTCCAAAAAAAGTAGTTTTGTCAAGACCAAGTACCAGTAACATTATTCAAAGCCAAGTGCAGGATTATTGTAGTTTGTTCCTCTGTATGTCTAAGTATGACAGCATCCTAGTGTGGAATTCCTTTTTGTGTGCTTTAACTGGGTGAGGAGTAGGAGGACAGCAGTGCCTATCAAACAGGTCGTAGATGTATTTTACTCATGTAAATGGCAGTGTTATAAATGGCTTCATGTCCAGTAGGGTTTATGGTAGGTATTTGCTGATCTAAGTAAATCTGGGAGTGGCATATGTTGAGTCACCCTCAGTGTAAGAAGGCACATAAAGCAGGACTTGAGGAAAAGAAAAAGACCGAGAGTGGTTAGCTGGAGTGCCTTGGAATGAAGTATGGTGCATTGATAATATGTTTAATATAATCATTATTTTTCCTCAAAAGTGAATTTCTTACCATAAACACTGCACGTGCTTCTTTGGGCAACAGAGTAATTTGTACAGTTGCTAACGAAGCTTGACCTGGAAAAGCAGATGAATGGGCTTTGTGTGTTGTCTGTTGGCACAGTTGATTGACCACAGTAGCAGCGAAGAGGTTAGCCCTGAGGAAAATCTCAGCTTCAGACTTTGAAAGCTGAAGTCTGCCTGATTTAACTGGGTCAGTCATTATCTTGTTAACAGCAAGAATGTTGCAGCAGTTGAGTAAACTCACGTGTCCTGGTTTTATATTTCAGGAAAGCCAGTCCCTGCATGCAGCTTTGGAGGAGCTAAACAATACTGTAGTGACGTACCAAAAGTTGAATGATATAAAGCTTCTAAATGTGGATTCTACCATTGGTAATCTAAGCCAGAGGGTTACGCTGTTGGAAAGCTCTCTGGCTGCTGTGAATAAGCAGGACAAAAGAGGCAACTTGTTTAGCAGTGTGGTAAGTATTTGCTGTCTATGGGTATCTACTCAAGCAAGTAATCTGAATATTTCTCATATGATAAATATGTAGCTTTTCAAAGCTAACTTGAAAAAAAAATCTCAAAGTGAAACTTGAGAGGGTTAGTCTTTTGTTTTAAAAGGCTGGAAGCTGCTTTATTGGTTTAAAAACTAGTAGCAACATTAGGAAACTCCCTGAAAGTCATTTTGTCCCTGAAGTTAACAGAAAAATGTGCAAAACACTGCAAAGTTTAAGACTTAGGCAACTGCTTAATGGGAGAGGATTCACACACCTGTTGAACTATGCTGAGGAAAGGCATTTTGACACAGAGTCTGTTAAACTCAGTGAGAAGATAGATGGGCCTCTGGATTATTCAGCAATCAGTACTTAAATGCTCAAAAAGGATTTAAATATGCGTTTGGATCCTTCCAGTGCTTTCTGTATGGGACTAGTCTCTGAAAATGCATTTTGTATGTCTAACAAGAAAAACGTTGATGTTGCTGTGATAAACTATATAGCCAAGTCTTTCACTGTATTTTTTTTCTAGTTTGCATTTGTTCTGTTTTGTTTCTACATCATGCCTGCCCATATTGAAGGAAAACACTTTACAGCAAGCAAGTGAATAAACTCTGCTGTCCTTTTTTTCCTGCAGGAGAATGATGCAACTACCTCTCTAAATGTGGAAAATGAAGATCAACTCAATGGAACTCATTCAGATAAAGAATTGAAGGTAAGGGGAAAATCTCCTGGATTAGTAGACCCTGCCATTGTCTTTATAATTGTTTTAAATGGGAATTAATTGGGGAGCAGATTGTTAAAAACTGGCTTCGCCTGTTTAAGTACAAAGGGCAATTTGTCTGCTCTTTTGTGAGCAGGAAGTGATTTACAGTGGAAGACAAGTTGAGAGATTAAAGGCTTGTTATTGTGAGCCTATGGAATATTGATCCCATACTTGTTTGTACAAGGTGACATAGCAGAACACTGTAATATCCTTCCAAACAGCTGAAGGAGCCTTAAGACCATGGCCTGATGAAATGGGAGACTTTGGCAGCCAACTCGTCTTGAATTCCCATTGCTGTGCTCTTGGGCTTGCCCAGCTGCTGTGGAGTCGCACTGAAAATGGTGCTTAGGAGATTATTCATATTAAAAAAATCACTTTTGGGGGAAGGTTATGCTCATCCTTTATGTCATGCAGGACAAGGGAAAGCATGAAAGGGTGAGGGCAAGGAACTGAAGGAGACAGTGCTGCCCAAATGTGCCCAGCCCTTCTTTGTCCTCTAGGCTTGCAGCCAGGAGCTAGTGGCTAGAATTCGACTTAGAGAAACTTTGTACAGGTGGAGCTTAGGAATCAGTGAAGACCTTCTCTCAGTACTGATATAATGACTTGCTGTGAGCAAGTTTAATACACTAATTGAATGGCAAAGTCTTGGGCTGGGAATAAGAAGTGGTGGTAGTAGTGAAGTTGGCTTTGGTGTTCGGGAAAGATGGCAGGTGAGTGAACTGGTTGCACTAGCAGTTCTGGAGTTAAATTAACATGACTATGTAAATAAGCCAAGTTCAGAGAGCTTTGGGAGTTCTTGGCTCAAACTATAATTTGGAACCCACTCAGAGAATCAGCAAAAGATCAGTCTGGATAGAGAATATAGTAGGTTTACTTTGGGAATGTGGTAGCGCCTACATCAATGTATTTAGTTTTGCAGGCAAACATTCGTAGCAACTATGTAATTCAGTTAACGTTTTGAAAGCTCATTCCATTTACTTTAATGTTGATGGATTTATTAGGATTTTTCAGAATCCTAATAAAATTTCACAATCTCATGTATATGCAAAAGACAGTAAATCTTTAGAATTTGCTGAACCTTTTCAGGTTGAGGTTCTGATTCTGTTTTCTTACAGACATATGAACTTGTTCTTTCTGTAGTGTGCTGGTGAGATTTTTGCTGTTTTTTTTTATCTTTTTGATCCTGTTAGTTATTTAATACTTGATCAACCTGGAAATTAGAAGGGCATCAAAAAGTACAAACATTCCTAAAATGAATTCTTTCTGATTTATATGAAGGGTTCTTAAGAAAAATATTCTCTGCATATACAGGAAACAAGAATTAGAGATTCTCAGGTATTAAAACTAAAAGAGGAACTTCAGATGATCAGTGCTCTCTCAAGCAAGTCAGAAAATGACAGATCGGTTGAGGCGTCAAGGAATGGTAAGAACCAAATGTAATCGTAATCCCTAAAGCTGAGGTTTATTATGAAAGTCAAAGCATATGTAGTGAAGGTAAATAATTCAAAATGTTTTCTCAAGAATTTGCTGAGGATTCATTCATTTAAAGTGGTGGGAATGTAGTGCTTCTAAAACTGAGAACTAAGTAGTTTGAAGATGACTTTATGTGTGCATAGTAGGATTCACATGATAAAGACTAGGTAACATACTGCAGTATTCCTCAACATTTTCACACCATTCTTACCCCATGTAGTGTTGTGTCTGTAATGCAAAGCTGCTTAATGTTACTGGCTTTTTGTCTCTGTTACTCTAATTCCATGGAACTAGTAAGACTAATAGAAACTGTTTTTCAGCAGTTGGAAGTAGTACGAGTGCTACAACAAAGCCCACAGATCTTCCAAAGCTGATTTTGAGGTCAGCAGATGCCAACACAGAGAACCCACAGCTGAGACATCTGTCCTTACCAGGAGTGTCGAGCATACAAGGTTTGTCCTTTCTAGGCTGACCTTTTCTTTCCTTAGTAGTTTGGGTAAGAGTTTAGGAGGAGGTAAGTGCATGGGGAGTTATGGTAATGTGTCAGTACAGATATTTTTTGAGAAGGATAGTGTTGTGAAGGAGGAGGGGAGGAAATGGACCCTAGCCTGTGAAATAAATTAGAATGTAAAGATGAGTGTGCACTAAGGTGAATTTTAACTGTTCCTAGTACAGAACTATTGTGCCAAGTGTAAAAGCAACGATTGGAGGCACAATTAAGAGTTGAATTAGTGCTGAAGGAAAATGAAGTAGGTGTGGGTGTGTGGTAGCTTCTTTTTAGAGAGAGAACTGCCTGGAATGAATGGCTTCTGGATCTTGCTGTTCAGCCTTTTCAGCTACTAAAAGGGCAATGCTTTGCACCAGGAAATGAATAGACACTTTCCCCTTTACATGATCTGCTCTGTTGGTATGGCAACAGTCACTCAGAGCTTGCTTTTGTGGGAGACAACTGCATCTTTATGCAGTTAGTGGTTATAGAGTGGGCTCTTAGTTGTAGGCTTGAAACAGGGATTGTTTTTCTAGAATTGCTGTAATTTAATACAAAAATCTTGGTGCTTTTTCTCCTGAACTTTTACTTGCAGCTTGAGACAACATAGAAGGAAAGCTACGTACTTGGGGATGCTTTATATAACTTAACACATAAAGCAGTAAAACTGAAAGAGTAGCATACAGGATATTCTTGAGTGGTTCAAAATTACTTTTAAGTTATTATTCTCTTTGCAGATCTTCAGAATTTGTTTGAAAAGGCTGATGATGCTGATGGAAAACTATCCTATGAAGATCTTCAAAAGCTACTTGGTTTTACAGTCCAAGATTTGCAGAGCTTTAAGGAATTTGATACAGATGGAGATGAGAAATACTCATTACAAGAACTGAGATTAGCTTTAGGTGTATAGAGTATATATTTAGAAATGTAATACTGATGGATGCTACTGTAGCTAAAGGAAGCTAAAGGATATGAAAACATTGTTGCACTTTCCCTTTTTTTTTTTTTGAGCTAAATTGCAGTGCACATTTCCACTCCTTCATTTGTGTTTGTTAAAAAAGAAATTTACTAATTTAAAGTAGATAGGATATAATATTGGGATTGTGTCAAAATCCAGAAACATCCCAAACTTGCTAGAAACTTTTTCCGGTCACTTTTCCTTTCCAAAGGAGCTCTTGCTTTTAATTTAAAATATGTACATATAAAAATAAACCCATGGTTTTATATTTCACTGAAATTTGCCTTAAATTAGAGAGCTGCACTTTATGTAGAGCAGAAAGAAATCTGTCTTGTAAAGATGGGCTTTTTCTGCTTGTAAATATTTGAAATAGAGTAAATTATGCATATTTAAGGAGAAGTTTCTTTTGGGACGTGTTGCTAGTAAACATGTTTATTAAATAGACTGAACCTAAACTGGGTTGTTGAGCTTCAACTAAAGTTTTAAATTTCAGTATGTCCATGAATGAGTTTGGACTCAGGTGGAGGAAGGTGGGGCTGGTAAATAATGCCCACCTATAGTAGAAATTATTTTTAGAGAGAAGGGGTGAAAGTTTTTGTATCATGAGTCTATGGGAGCAACTACCTACCCAGCACGTGGGTTTTCCCTTCAGCTTTTCTTTTAGCTTTTATCTTTGCTGTATTGCATTCAGATTGCCTTTTTGTGGTTGTTGCTTTTTGAGATGGAGATATCCATGAAAACAACAACTATTGGAGAACTTCAACAAATATTTGAGAGAGAAAAATTTGCAGAGTGGCTTGCTGAATGGCACCCAAATCGTTCTTGTCTCTGCTGTGCAGGGGTAGGATCAGGATTGCTCTTGGTTTGCTTGCTGGTCCCTGGAGATCCTTCTACTGGGATGCTGCTGCTGCTGCTTTCTTCCGCTTGTTGCTTTTTGTGTCACTCGGAGTAAAGCTCCTTGTCCTTTTGTGAGCAGCTGGGGAAGCTCTGCAGAGAACTTCGTGCTGTTTCCTGCACCAGTGTGAACATGATTGCTTGATATCTACACCAGGGTGTTCTTGTGGACGAGAGGATATAAAGGGCAGGATAGTGTGCAGTCACATAAGCATTTGCTACTGATAAGTGCTTTGTTAGTGAGGTTTCATTAGTATCGTTACATTCATGGCCTGTTAACTGTATCTGCAGAGGGGCTTGAGTGTGTTATTACAAGTGGATCTAAATGCAGAGCATTTTATAACCCAGGGATTCCATCTGAAACATAGAAAATGACATTTGCAGAAGAGATTCTCCCACAGGGCCACATCAGGGACAAATTGTCTGACTTTTTCGACAAATATCACTGATTGTATTGTGAATCTCGCTTAATTAGCGAATAGAAAGTGTTCAGCTCACTGAATTATCAGTATATATGGCAGTCTGTTCATAGGTGTTGAATTTGATGTGACTTCAGACTGGATGTTTGTAGCTTTATTGAATAATCGTATACTGAAAGTATAAATCAGTGAAAGATATTACAAAGTGAACCTTTTCCATTTCCTCAGTGTTGCTCTTCTACCCTCTTTGGGTAATGCAGATGTTACCCAGTAAGGAGATGCTTTGTGACAGTATTTTAACAACAACAAGGACAGATGAGCAACCTTGGCTTTAAAAGGATAAGAAGCGAACATGTGCTTCTTGCCATTTTTCCACACTTTTATACACTTCTGTGTGATTCTTTAACCAAATAATAAAACTAGCAATAAAATATAACCATTATATTATTTGTACATACTGTATCATAGCCATATTTCAGAGTTTGCAAAGTATTTTTGAAAGTTTGATTTGTATGAAATTTAACATATCTTAAAATTTAAAGAATTCTTGTATTGTCAATGTGAATCTAACAGTGTGTCCTGTTCTGTTGCAGTCTGCTTTACTTTGGCAAGGCTCTTCAACGGCAGTAGTGGAGCTACCAGCTGAGCTCATTTTGAGACCAGCGTGCTGCTCCTGACACTGCTTTGCTCCCTTGTGTGGTCAGGGAACCCGGCCGGTTTGTCGTGGGGCACCAGGACACTGCTGTCCTGCTTCATTTGCATGGCAAGTGAGTGGTGGTGTTTAAGTGCCAGCTTGTCACTGCAGAGGTAGGATGGACTCATGCTATGAATTTAACAAAACGAGATCGTGTTAAGTACAGCAATAGCTTTTGTTTGACCTAGACTTTCTGGTAGCACTTTGCAACCATCTAATGTCACTCCCCAACCAGCTCCTTTGCTTGTGCAAGCTGCTCTGCTGTGTTTCCTGGCACCTTCTCCCATACTTTCTTTCCAAAGAAAGTTTTTCTTTTGCCATTTGTTTTTATCCAGCACTGCAGAGGTACCAAAGTTGCAGATGGGCTAAATACCTGTGCAGATCAGCTCTCTGCAGCAGGAAGGTGCTGGCGCTCACAATGGGAGCCCGAGGGCTGTATCATGGGAGGGGAAGCAGGAGAGGCCTCCTGCTCTCCTCCCTGTGTCTCCCTCACCTGCAGATGGGCTCTTGAGCCCGCAACTGGACTGAGCCCAAGGGTTTCTGAGCCCCCTCTTAATGCAGCACTTAATAGTGGCCTGTGGCCCTTCTGGTGGGGGAGAACCTGTGAGCTCCTGAGCGAGGAGAAGGTGCAAAGTCTGAATTGGCCGAAATTGGAGGCAGTGAAAGGAGTGGTGGGGTAAGTTGTGATGTTGGGAGGTGACATGGAAACGTGGCACCCTAGCAGGTGGCCCCAGAGGCTTGCAGCCTTCCAGCAGCGCCGTGTCTGCCCCTGGGGGCACTTCTTGCTGCTGCCCCTTCCTTGTGGTGCAGAAGAGCTGGCACGAGGGGGCGGCTGCGAGGGGAGACCCCCAAGAACCGCTTTGTCGTGGGCACAGGGAGAAGCGCGTGCCCGGGGCCGCTGTTAGCTGCAGTTCTTGGTGGTGTTTGTCCTACACTCAGCCTCATTTCCTTCATGCTATGAGTCTGGGCTTTCTTTTCTCGTTTTTCAATGGCTCCCTTGTCTGGACAGCGCCCCATGCTTGGTTTTAACCTCCCTGCACAAAGCTCCTCCAACCGAAGCTGTGTCCGCTTGGGAAACACAGCGGCCCCGGCGCTGCTGTAACAGAAGCTGGATTGATTTTATTTTTTTTAGCAACTGCACTCCTCACACTTTATCATGTAACGCGACTTAAATTTATCGAAATAAAATCTCGTTTTTAGTGATCGGCTTGCGTTTCCATGTGGGGGGGCTGCGAGGAGGAGGGAAGGCGGCCTAGGAGCGGGGAGGAGCCGGGGCGGCGGCGGCCGCGGCAGGAAGGGGCCGGGCGGGCGCGGGCCATGGCGGCCGCGCTGCAGCAGACGTGGGGCCTGTGGCGGGGCCCGGCGC